ATGTGACTCAAAAACAAAACACAAAGAGAATAAAATGTAATTCTTAAGTAAACATACTGAGATAATTACCCTGAAGTACTCACACTTTCTTTTCACTGTCCCTGTCCTCCAGTTGTTTGTCGATTTGCTCAAGTGGGCCCAGTAAAATTGTGAGACTTGATACAGTGTTTGGCGTATCAAATATATCACGGGGAGCTCGCCAGGCTTTGCTGTGTGGGCGAGACACTCTCAGTAGCTTGCTGGGCTCTCCAAGAGGGATGGAGGAATCAAACTTGGGTCAGCCATGTTGACCATGTGCAAGGCAAACACCCTACCTGATATGCTATTGCTCCAGCCCACACTTTCTTTTACCTAATAATAATAAATTACCATTAGCCTATTACTTGTAGTGTCTCTTCATGTGGTATGTATGTGTGTGAGTGTGTACATGTGTGTGCGTATATGTTCCCATATGTGTCTGTGTTCCTAAATGTTCAAGGAAAAGAGTAAAACATAACCTCCTACACTTTTGGTACTTACTTCTTTTTCAAAAGAAGCATCAATCACTGCTTATTAGCACCAAATCCTATTCACAAGCTTACATAATTTATTAAGTTGAATTTTTTTATTCCTAAAGAGATAAATTTATTTCTTATGTTGCCATCTTCAATGTTTATCTATATCTGTTTGAATTTCTATTAGCATATATAGGAAAGTCTCTGTAATTTATATACATTCATTGTTCCTGGCTTGCTTAAGTAAATTTACACTTAATCAAATATTTGTCTGGATATACACAGATAAAAGGAAATACCTTTAGCAAAACCTTGCATATTTCAGTGAATTGTAGAGAATTTCACAAAGTTTGCAAAGTTGATAGTAAATACTAACTCCTACTAGAGAGAGAAGGATGCCACCTGCCCACTTCACCCAACAAATCTACAGAAATCTAATGGATAGACCTATGAAACTATATACGTAGAGAAATTGCCTTTAAGCAAATGTTATGCTGGAAGGAAAAAAAACTGTCAAAAGAAAAATATCTCTTTAAAATGAGATCTCTGGAAATGAAAAACTTAAGATAACTGCCAAACATCCCAAACTCCCCACCCTCAACTTAATAATGGCACCTATATTTCACCAGAAATAAAATTTTATTAGTAACATGTCAAATATGTTTTAAAATACAATTACCTTTCTTATTCCTTTCAGTTTAAAAAACAATCCAATAGAAACTCTAAACCATGACCCAAATATTTCCAAATGTGAAAAAGACATATTTTAGATTATGTAACAGATACACATTTTTCCAAATAAATGTTGTAGAACACCATCTGCTTGATATTTGGGCACATTCCCACATAACTAAATTTCTGCTTTTCTCCTTTTGTTAATGACAAATTTATGACACTATATTTCACAATAGCTATAGCAACAGTTTATGACCAAAGGAGAGCCTGACAAAAATTACTTGGCATGCTCAATTAGACAATTTATGCAACTCTCTCATCTACACCAAACCTTCACCCTTTACCCAGACACTATCAAATGAAGAGAAAAAGGAAGTCCATAGTGAGAAGAGGATGTTTCGTGCTTTAAAAAAGTCCAAAGGAAGAAGTTGAAGATTCTAGTAGCATTTTTCAACTCAGGTTTATGAACAACTTTAGCATATCAAGCTACCCATAAATCTGAATTTCACATAGAATACTTTTATAAGTTTTTCTCTTATCTTGCCAAGGAATAAATTGGAAAATTCTTGCAAACCCTAGATAGAATTTGCTTCTTCATGTTGTCAAGTGAAGTTTCCTTATCTGAATAAATTTTAGGGGAAAAATAAAACAAAGATATTTACCATATATCATTTCCTCACTGATAAGAATGTACAACCATATTCTTTTGCTGCATGTAATATAGATAAAATTTTTAAATGCACAAATTTCTGTGTACTTCACTCTCTAAAGTATTTTTGTATTTGTAGCCAACTTGGAAGAATAGTTTATGGTGATTTTTGCTTTTTATTACTTTTTAATAAATAAAACTATTGAAAATAGGTATAAACTCATATTATTTTTAAAATATAAGGGAATAGGGGTTGATTGTGTATTTTGCTTTAAGTGATAAAGAGCCTCAAGACTCCAAATTTTGTTAATGTAATGGTCACCCTCACATCTTCTGGGAAAAGAGAAACACAGACTCACAGGCCACATTTCTGATCTACTAAAAGGAACCAATGTTTTAACAAGGTCTCCAATGACTTAGATGCACAAAAATATTGGAGAGGTACTAATGTAGAAAGCTGTTCTTTAACAGATCTGTCCATCTGTAGAGCAAGAGATGGGCAAAGAAAAGACAACTCTAACGGTAAAATTTTTGTTTAAAATATTTGGTCATGAATGTAACAAGTTTTTTGACATGGCTCTTTTAATAAAGAAACATAAAACCAAAAGAAACACATTACTGGCATGTAGTAATCACATTTGAGAATAAAAAATATACATTACAGAGCCATATATTACATAAATATTCATGAACTTCTTGACTTAATTGTATACAATCTTCCAGTATTTCTAATCTGTGATATTTTCATTAGGAAAGCATATACAGCTGGTAACTTACATTGAATTGCAAAATCATTATTTTAGAGGACAATTATTTACTGACCAAGTATAATAGTTCCAAAAATAATTATATTAAGAAATTATAATGAATTCTATTTCAATACACTCTGGACTTTTTTTTCCTAAAGAAACTCAATCAGTACTGCAAATTGCTCTTTCCCTAGTATCTTTGTGTCCATTAATATCAATACTAAGGGGAAAACAGGGGTCTAACTGAGATTTAGAAGAGAAATCAGTGGGAGAAGAGGGTGATGGCTGGAGTAGCTGTATAAAGAATACTCTAAATTTATGGAAGCAGTTCACTGGCACAAGGCAAAATAAAGCTATTCTATTCTCGTACATACTGATATACAAATCTCAGACTATGATTTTTTGACTTTCTCATTTACATTAATATTACCCTGATTACCTCTGTAAAAATTACAAAAGCTAGGAAAGCCAGAAGAAACTGTTCTGTACTTGCACTTGTTTCTTTTCCTCCCCCTATGACCTCTTGTACCCCAGTGATGAGCTAAGGCCAAACGTGTTTTTCTTTTGCAATTCTAGTTTGCAATCAAGTACAAAATATGCTGAAAAATATAATGTACGCCCCTACAGCTCTATGATATATGTCAGGAGACCTTTCCTTTTCCTATGCATCTTTGTAGTTTCAAATGCCTTCAGAGACACATGCTTGAGAGCCACTCCATAGTTTGAGAAATGCAAATGTGATGTCCAATAAAATATCTCTATATTTTAAAATAAAACTAAACTCCCACTCCTCAAAGACCAGCTTCAGCAAAAGGATTGTGTACTGTTCCTACCATATCTTCTACCCTGGCAAAATTTCTGGGTCATAATAGATGTTCAATATTTGATAATTCCTTCAACAGAATTTATTCAATCTGAGGCTGTACATTAAAATTTGATCAGGAGTTTCAACAAACCCAGGCTTACCATTTAGTCTTTTCTCCAACTTAATTTCTACTTTTTTTTTTAAAGTTCTCATCTACCCAGGATCTTAGTTTAAAGATATTTCACAGTAATACATCTCATTGAATACAGATGCTGAGTAGAATCTAGTCCTTGGTGACTGAATAATGGGTGAATTAAAAAAATTATGGGGAGCAGTATTTGAGGTGTACAGCCAATATAAGAAAGCAAAACTGTGTAATTACCTAAGCATTTCCTCTCACATGAAACAATTTTCTCTTCCACATACTAATCCTGTTCCTTATTTTTCTGATTCTCCCTTCACATCCCCTTCCTCTTCTATGATCTCTCTTTTCTCTTTTAGAATATCATTTCTAGGTCTTTAAACTGTAGTCAACTGCCTTTGCTCAACATTTCCAAAGGTATTCAGATTTTCCTGTCATCTTACTTTTTCTAAAGATAGCACTTGGTACCTGTGAAAAGATATCCAGGATCAAGAAAAGTTGTACCTAGTGTCTCAACTCTTGCTTCTACTATAATAAACATGTGGGGTGGGGTCAGCAGAGCATGTCTGTGTAAAGCTCCTCACAGATCAGTTCTCCATGGAAAAATGACAGTAATCTTATTGGTTAACTTAGACAAGTTTACACAGTTTAAACACAAATCATTTTTAAGTCAAGATAACATTAGGTTACTCCTTATCTATAAATAGTTTATTGGAAAAAATTAAATGCCCTAGAGAATATTTTAGCCTGTTTTGAAATCAACAGTTAAAAATAAAAGAAGCATATTCACAGATACTGCTGGTTTCTAAGACAGTTTCTTTTCTCTAGAGATGACTACACAGATCAGAGAACTCATTTAATTGTGTCACCAAATAAAACATTTAAAATATTGTGGGTTCCTTGACCAAGAGTTCTGCCTTTAAGATTTCTTACATGCAATAAATGTTAGAATTTCACAATTTACTGAATATTTTTTCTCTCTTCTATTCCAAAGTATGTGGTGCATTTATGACCTCAGACAATTTTCAAATACAGCATTTTTCCAAGTCATATTTATTATCACTGTTACATGTTTATAAATACTATTGTAAATAAAGCCAAACATTCATTTTGTTACATAACTTAAAACTATTAGAGACCAAATTATATTTTAAATTATATGATAGTGTAATTATTCTTTAAAATTTAGGTCTTATTTTTAATATCCCTATTTTAAAAGAAATATACTTTTAAAAGAAGTGTTCTAACAATTAAGGAATTTTATAAGTACAAAAAGTTATCTAACTTTGGTGCCAAATTTTCCTCTTAATTTTTAAATAGTTTATTTGTAATTCAAAGCTATCTCACCATTAATACTACATTGTCTTTGAAAAGAAGCCGCAATTCTAATTTTTAAGTTAGAATTATACAGCTTTAGTTCCTAATTCTGATTGGGCAATTAAATAGATAACTAATTTTTTAATCAATTACATATATATAATATATATATATGGTCTTCAACAGTGTATAGTAATAGGGCTTTATACCAAATGATCCACATTAATCATCCTGAAGATTATTAGAGGGAGCAAGTAGTGAATTAAAACTAAAATGTAAATTATCCTGTATAGGGGTAGGCCCTCTTGGTTACAAGACTGAATTCAAACAGAGAAGATAAAATGTCAATAAATCACAGTAACTAAATTTATGAAGACATAAGATTACTGAAGTATTGGAATATCTTCTCTTAAAGTAGTGCCTTTGATTATTGATATTATGTAGAATTTGATTTGAAAGCATGTTAGAAAGCAAATAATTCCCAATCCCAATGTTCCTCTAGTCCTCTGCAAATCCTTATTTTTGATTCTTATCTTTATTAGCATAATCTCTCTAACACTTGCTTTTACATCTTTGGTATTTTCTTGAATATACCTTTGGCACCTAGTTTTCCCAATCTGTTTTATCAATTAACGACAAGTCTTTAAGTGGTATGCTCCATAGGACATAACTCTGGACATTAAAATCAGACATCACATTCAAACCTCAAAGAACATATTATGAACCACTTTAAACAACAATTTCAAGAATCTATTCATTTTGTTAAATAATGATTTTTTGATTGCAAAATATAGGGAACTATTTAAACTTTACCACCAAAGGCATTCTGAAATATTTTGTCAAATATTGAATGATCAACTATTATACAAAAATCAGTGCAAAGTTTCATCCAGGCAGCTTTAAATGCACTCTTAGATGAAGAAATAATGTTATGTTTAATTTCAATTATCGCCAATTTTAGCAGATAATATTTGTCTTAATTATCAATCTATTAAAAGCAATTTTTACTTGCCTATCTTTTTCCTGAGGATCACAGCCTATAAAACTGACATCATAAATAAAATTCTAAAGTCTTAACAAAAGGTCCACCACAAATCTCAACTAATCCTTAGAACTTAGAGATAAGCCCATCTGCAAGGCATTTTATTAAATTTCATCTTTAGAGGAAAATCTATCAAACCAAAAAAAGAGAAAGTAAAATGGATGAGTTTGGAGTGGTCTGGTTGTTACATTCAGCAGTTGAGTTGTAGTATGTTTGCCCCATCTTTAATTGTCACTAAAGGTAAAAGAAGGGCTTCAATTATTTGGCACAATGCTTGACAAGCCAAAGCATTTGAGAAATAAACTTAGTCTTCTCATTATTTACAGAAATTACATTAACAATCCACCCTTAATCTTCTGGTATGGTACAGTATCGATTTGATCTGTTACTTTTTGTTTCTCTCCATTGAGTAGCAGAATTTAGAAAGAGGGAGATTGAGAATTTTCGTAGTTCTGTATGAACTCATATAGGTCCTTTCCTACATATACACCTTTTTATACTTTGGGGAGGGGGGAGTCGCTTTTATAACACCTATTTGCTACTTTGAACATGGGAACATTTTGTCAATTTGATTTGATGACATTAAGGACTGCTGAGTAATAACCAGGGTTTTCATCAATCAGTTCAGCATGCATCTCATCTTTGATCTCAAGTGCATTGGTAATTAGTGCCTTATGTTAACATCTTCACTATAAACAGTTCAGGCATTTAGAAACATAATGGACTTAACAGTTACTTTAATTCATTTTATAAATAAGCAACTGAGAATTTTGCTCCAAGTGGCTGCTAGTATAGCCCATTCCATAAATGGCATTCTCCGAAGCATAAGGCACAATATGATATGAATGCAGCTCTTCATAATAGAGAGACTGAGAACAGCATTCCTGTACCATAAACTTCAGCCGTTTTCTTGTATCAGAATAAGAAGTCTTATAACACGGAGCTTCTTTAAAGTATTCATAGCTCTCTTTTTCCGTCTCTAGATGTATCTTCCTCAGCAAATTGTTAATTAACACAGACCTTCTTAAATAGGTTTCTGGGTCTTCAAGAAACCTGAGCTTCTCCAGAGAAAGTTTGAGAATGCAAGTCCTGTCCTCAGGCAATATCAGGTGCTAGAAAGCAAACACATAGTTAAATCTACCTAGTTCTATTTGTTTAACTTGTTAGTAGAGTTCAGTTTCCGCGTTTATAACAGTGCTAATATCTATGGTTTGTAAAATTCATTTTTATATTTGTCACTTTTATTTTAAGCACTATAATTTACAGTACTGTTAAATGACAGCATTTCATGCATAGGAAAACCCCAATACAACATTCTTAAGTTGTTTCCCCAACCTCACCTGTCTCAACCTACACCGACTCCATTCCCCACACCGGTAAGCTCAGTTCTGTAGAAGAGTTCTCACGCTTTATTGTCTTGGATATTTGATAGTCCTAAGCCATATTTTTAAAATATTTCACATACAAGAGAGACCATTCTGAAGTCCATCTCCTTTTGTATTTTTATAGTTTTGATGTACAAGGATAGCTCTATATATTTTTAAAGCTTTTTTTTAAATAGCAGAGTCTTTTCTATTGAGAATACATATAAAACTGAAAAACAATAAATGAGCAAACTCTTACTTTTGGAAAATACCCATGGCAATCTTGATGTAAATCTTCTTCTTCTGCATATTTTCTCTTAAAGTAGGCTACTTTCGACGTTGTTAATGTATATAGTAATACTTTTGTCGGATAAGCTAAACAAAATTAAATTGGAGAAAAGTCAGATTATATTGTAGCAAAAGTCCTTACAAAAGTTCTACTTGTCAAAGTAAATTGATGACCCCAAAAGTTAATGTTCTTCATTGTTCTTCAGAAGCAGCTGTCCAATGACTGAAAAGCCTATTTGGAAGCAACCGCTATCACTGGGACCATAAACATTTATATTCTACATTGGAGATTTATATTTATTTCTTTTTTTAGTCTCATTAAAATATTTACCAAATCTCTTTTTAACAATATGCCATATATTTTTATCTATCTATACCCCAAATGAAGATGGCTCACCAATAGTAATAATAATAATAATAATGTATGAATTTTTTAGCTAAACTAATTTACAAATGACATTGGGTTATTCAACTTAGTGTAAAATGGTCAGCAATACTTTACACTTTAAAGAAATAAAATGCCTATAGACAACAACTTCTTATGATTATAGGGACTAGCCTCCAACTCATAAGGCTTAAAGGAAGTTTAAGTAAGATTGTGACTAGTAAACTTGACCTGACCTTTGTTTTAATACCATTGCTACTAAGGATTCTGATTTAAGGAAGGATAAATTACTGAAAGCATATTTTCATGAAAGGGTAATTTTATTTTGAAAGAGTTCCTAGTGTGTACTCTAGGTGGTGCTCCTATCACAGACAAGAAGCTTGTTCAATAAGAAAAGCAAAAGAAGCTTCTAGTGAAAAGTGTTGAATGAATTTAGAACACAAACAGAGTCTGGACTAGTACTCATTCAACCTCTGGGAGTCACATTAGAAAGTTCAAAAATCACACTTTTACACTTAACCTACACCCTTAAATTCACCTAGTTTGATTTGTTGATTCACAAAATGAGTAGTTTATTAATGTGTTGGTTAAAACAAAACTTGAGGACATTCAATGTTTCGTATCTAAAGTATTTAAACTTGTAATTATTAAACATTAAAAATTTTACTATTCAATAATGTGCATCATCTATTTTTCTCTCTACTCAGTGGCATCTATAATTCATTTGACCTGCAGCTTTTTGTAGCTGTATGGTTTACCTAAACCATCAGGAAAATCCACAAAAATCATGCCTAAGGAATTCAAAGTTTTATTGCCACCACTGTAGATTATAAGCCAGAGTGCTCTAAATTATAGGTGGCATGTTTTGTAAGGGCAGATTTGTTCATTTGTTTGTTTGTTGTGGGGACACAACTGGCATTTCTCAGGGGTAACTCCTGGTGGTGTGCTGCTGGAGATGGAATGCTGAGGAAGAAATCCAAGTCAGCAACGTGCAAGGCAAATGCCCTCCCCGCTGTACTATAGCTCTGGCCCACTAAAGGCAGAATTTTATAAGAATTTTAAGTCACGGCAAGTCTGATCTAAAAATGATGAATGTGTATAGCCATTCATAATTACAGCAAAGGCAGTAGTGATTACTGTATTCTGTAAATCCTGAATTCAATAAGCAAAACTTGACTAATAAAGAACTTTAACAGATTTTGAAAGGCTTGAAGAAAAAGATAAAAGTTGATTATATTGAAAACAAAAGAAACATCACTAAATCCAGTATCTTAGGGACCGATTTGGGAGGTTGGTTTGGGGTGTTGGGCGGGGGAGGGGAGGATTGGCTGTGTTTTGCTTTATTTGGTTTTATTGTGAGTTCTTTTTCAGGATCTGTGTTTTTGGTTGGGGTGATTGTTTTAATACATTCTATGTATTAAATGTATTAAATTTAATACCCAGCTCTACTTAGGGCTTACTCCTCGTCCTGTGCTCAGGGATCTGTCCTAGCAAACTAAGGGAACCATATTCAGTGCTAGAACAAGATGGGCCATGTGTAAGGCAAGCAACCTGCCACCTATACTATTGCTTCAGCCCTTAAATGTATTTAAGGAATTTAATCAATTAATTATTGCAACTAAGTTCTTTTAAAACTATGTAGTAAATGTCTCAGTGACACTCAACTGTTAGTGAGCATCAAAGCTATCCTTAAACAGATTGCTGGTTCCCACCCCCAGAGTTTCTAATTTAGTAGGTCTGGGTTAGAAGCAGGATTTATATTTCTAAGTCATTTCCAGGAGAGGCTGAAGCATTGGGCCTGGGGACTACATTTTGAGAAGATCTATGTTATAATATGAAGCAAGAAGAGTAGTAATACTACAAAGGCAAGTTTAAAAGCAAGGAATTTAGCAAGTCAACTGATTAGAATGTCAAGCAATAGGCTTAATTGAGTTGTGTTGTTATTGCTACATTGGGTACATTGGCTTAAATGCCATAGCAGTGTGAACAAAGCCAGATTGCCTTTTAATAGTGAGGAAAGAATGAGGTCTCTTTTTAATATATATTCCTAGGTTCACATTAAAAAGCATCAATGAATGTTTAGCATTATAAGTTGGACACGTCCATGGTTTAATAAAAATAATAAGATCCACTGAATTACTTTGGAGAAAGGCGTGAGGAAAGGCTCAGAAATGAGGAGTTATTTTTTTATTTATGTTCTTTATTTTCCCAAAGTAATGCAATAAATATAGCATTTATGACTGCTTGAAATACTTTAAATTAATGATACAGTGAGGAGAGGTGGCAGCTTGGAAAACCAAATGTCAAATACAACAAATGATACTGTGGGGAAGATATTTATATTTAACAGATACACACACACACATACACACACACACACACACATAAAGACACAACTACAAGTTTCAGAAAGGTTTGTCCGATCTTCTTCAAGCAATTAGCCTAAGATACAGAAAGCATCATAACATGAAAATAGAGAACAAATTCTTAGGGGTCAGGGTGCTAGTTTTGAGCCCTCAGCTCCACGGGCAACAGAGTTAGCTACTTAGTTTATTGCTCTTAAAACTGTGTGTTGCTGAAATACTGTAAAGCTTTCACAGCTGAAATCAGTTTGAGAATTACCTCCTCACAGGCTGTTTAGCTATTTGAAATGTTTTCAACACCAAATTTTGTGAGAATGCTTTTAGCCACTGTTAAAGTTAAAACATATAGCAAACATAAGTTTCATCATTGGCTTTTTTGGCTGGATTGAAACTAAAAAAAACACAGAGCTGAAAACTACTTATTGATTACCTAGTTTAGCTCCTAAAGTTTACCAATAAAAAACTCAATGATTTACAGTATGCTATGTGGCTGAGTTTAAATTTTGAAATCAGTTGCAAATGGGTTTGAATTCCAGCTCTGTTGCTTCTTAGTTGTGTGACCTTGAAAAAATTATATAAACTCTCTACAAATCTCATTTGCAAAGTGGTGATAGAAATAATACTGGCTCATTGAATGACTGAAATAATTCATGGAAAGTGACTGGCACTGTGACTAGCATATGGCTTGCACTCAATCAAATTCTAGATTTTATTAGTGCCAATGGGAAGAAGAAACAAGGAAGAAATTCCAGCTTCGTCTCCAAATCATGACACTAAGTCCTTCTACCGCCCTGCCTCCCCGAAATACTAGATCATAATTAAAGAATTAAAAGCTGCAAAAGCCCATGAGAGATGGAGAGATAATACAGTGGGTAGAGCACTTATCGTGCATGCAATAGACCCAGGGTCGATCCTTGGCAACTCATATGGTTCCCTGAGCACCACCATGAGTGATCCCTGAGCACAGAGCCAGGAGCCATCCCTTAACATCTCTCTTTCCCAAAACAAACAAAACCAAAAAAGATGTAAAGAAAGAAAGATAGAAAGTTCACGTACTATAACAGCTCAAAGAATTAATTGCCCCTAGTCTTAGATTTTAGGTAATAAAATGTGGATTGTTTTTAAATATCTGATGGTACTTTGGAGAATTAAACATTTGAAAATACTCAAGAAGGTCTACATATTATAATCCATAAAATGTGTAAATTTGTATGAATTGTATAAATTGTACACAATTTTATAAATGTGTAAATTTGTATAGTTCATTCTCCTGCAACTAAAAATAATAAATTAAGTCTAGTCTATTATTTAAATAAAACTGATTCTTCTGCAATGAATAATAGAAATTCAACCATGTCTGTCATTGAAATAAAACTGATGATGAAACAGACAAGAATAAATAAAATGACTTTTCTTATTAAGTGCCATCAGCTCTGAGAACAGCATATAAATTATAAAACTGAGACTGAGGACAGCATACAAATTATAAAACTGAGTTAGGATGAATCTAAACTTACCTCTAAAGATAAAATGACTAACACTAGCACAAATATTCAAATTAGTTTTGGGGAGGAGGCTAGTCGACTATTACCCAGTAGTACTTAGAGGAACGCTCAAGGTTCTGTGCTCTGGGGACCAACTCCAGACCTCTTGTATGCAGGCATGTACCTAGACCTTTGAGCTATCTCTCTGGTTCCTTCAATTTGTTTTTAATGTAACCACTACATAAACAAAATATCTTAACTGGGATCAATTGTTTCAAAAAGTTCAAAACTAAGAAGCTACAGAACACAGAATAACCATTCATATTATTCGGGTTCTAGCAGTACAGTTTATACATATTTCTTTAAATAAACATTTAGAATGTAATTATCAACAATTGCTCAAATGTTCTTCCTTCTTGTTCTGCACTGCCTCCAGACAACTAAAATCCTATTATTGTAAGAGTGATTTCATTTGGTAGATGACCCAGGGGCAGTACATTAAGGAAAGATGGTCAGCAAATTAATTTACAAACACTCTGAGAGAACAGACAATAGTAAAAGCACAACTCCTGTCATAGTATCTATTCTTTGTCTAAAACTGTAAAAATCCTGAGAGATGAGCAAGTGATGGGTTTAATGTATCTAAGTTTTGGTCTGATTTTCATTTTCTTCACCACAATCTTTTGGTCAATATACTACAAAAACTAAGTTGAGACCATCTCCTTATATATGAATATCTGCAGCCACAGAGAAAAAAGTTTCATCTATAGAGAAAATAAAGCAGGTTCTAGTCTCCTATCAAAATGTTATAGAAAAGCATAGTCTTGTCTTCCACGCTCTCACAATTTCCTTTTATATAATATTGGTCTGACGCTAGCTTTAAAGAGTAAGTGTGCCTTTCTTTCTAAATAATATCTAGTGGCAAAGCTAATAGACATCCTTCCGTAAGGACCATGACCACTTTTGTCTAGGTATCCCACTGTCCCCCTTAGACATTCTCTACAATATTGCTTCATGACATAAAATATTTTCTCATAATTATCTAGTCTTATTCTGAAAACATAAATAATTTTAAACAGACTGTTCTCACAGAGTAAATGGGAAAATAAACTCATTGTTTTACATTTGAATTAAATGAAATAATAAGATATTTTTGCTTTGTGTTTAGGCCACACCCAGCTACGCTCAAAGAATACTTTTAGCCCTGGGCTCGTGGATCACTCCTGGTGGTTTTGGGGAGACCATATATACTGACAAGGATCAAATCAGGATCAGATGAATGTGAGGCAAGTACATAACACCCTACACTATCTCATTAAATATTATTCAAAAATCACTTACTCAGTGTATTACACATGTATTTTTTATTCTCAACAAATATTAGATATTGTTATTTTATTTGCTTCACTCTAAAACAAGGTTATGTATCCCATTAATCAGTACTACACTATCTGTTGGACGTTTGTCCTCTCTTTAATATTATAAATGTTACATTCACAACTGTATTCAAAAGAGTAGTAATGCCACATTTGAAGCAGTAACGCTCTGTCTTTAGCTTTGTTGATGTTTAGCAATATACCATGAATATTCTCTCTCATAACCCCTTGCCTAGCACCTTTCTGGAGAATTTGCTCTATAGAAGTAGAAATCAAGTAGATAATGGACCAAACATGATGACCTCTCGTGTTTGTATTGCAAACCATAATGTCCAAAATTAGAGAAAGAGAAAGTATGGGGAATATTGTCTGCCTTGGAAGCGGGGGGAGGGTTGGAAGGGGGGAATACTGGGGAGATTGGTGGTGGGGAATGTGCACTGGTGGAGGGATGGGTGTTTGATCATTGTGTGCTTGTAACCCAAACATGAAAGCTTGTAACTTTCTCACAGTGATTCAATAAATTTTTTTTTAAAAACGAAAAAAGAAATCAATACCAGTTTTTAGCTCTGAAGCAATAGAGCAATCTGTTTCTGCAGATTTCTCATCCATTCCTAGCACAGGATTTACTTAATTGGTGGCTCAGAATTAGCAATAAATTGAAGTTTCTGGAAGACTTTCCTAGGAACTTCTAGGAATACCAAAAGCCATTGAGGGTTTCTCAAGCATTGTCTACGTTGTTTGGGATGGTCTCAGAAGCATGGACCATTAAATAAAATGCCACCAATTCTGCCAGCCCATATTGTTTGACAATTAATGATTTTTTAACCAAACAGAACATCATTCAATAAGATACAATCATGTAATTGGAAGTTAACTTGGATACTACACCAAAACAGAACTTCTGCCATGATCTGGCCCATAGAGAATAAATGTGGTGGACTTTGTGAATAAAGTTACTGATTTATGGCCCTTCAGAAGCATATTCCTTATTTTCAAGATGCTTCCTTTCATTTCATCTTTCATCATGGGAAGTCAAAATGAATCAGAAATAAAATTGGCAAACCAATTATGTTACACTATGTAAATTCCAACAGTTTGCCAACTATGTCTAGGAAGATGCTATAACTTCCTTACATACCCAACTCTCTGGCTGTGTTTTAACCTTTAATATAGTTGAAGGCATGAACTTTTAAAAAATACTTGATCTATATCACCTTCATCATCTTTCTCTTTGATATGGCCATAGATTCAGGCATATCACCAACAGCATCTAGTCATTATAAACATCTCATATTCTGATTAAAAACATCAAGTTTTCCAAGAAAAACTAATCATCAACTTTATATACTAAGAGTATATGATAATTTCTCTGCAGTTACATACTCTCTGCCCTCAGTCATAGGATGCCTAAGTTATATCACCATCTGAAACTCCTCTCTTGTTAAAATGTTCTTCAATTGCAAGTAACCTACCTTCTAAAGATCTCTAGGTACTTCATTAATTAACATTATATTCAAATTCAGGCACAGCCCCTCCACTTGAGGTGGCCTTATTTCCACACTAGATATGGAGAAACAAGCCCAATACTGGTAAATCAAGTTGTATATGGGGATAAAATTAATGCTCTGTATTCTTGAATACTGATTCTGATAATATCTATAACTTTTCTTGATGTCTCTAATTCATGCTATCTTTTTTATAATATTTATAAAGCAATACATATTTTGATAAACCATCACAGACAACTTCAACCATGACCACTTCAACCCTGACCCTTCCCCTTCTAAGTATCACTGACATTTATAAGACTCCTGCACAAGACCTAACATCAAGACTTTCCATTGATGAGATAAAGCTACAGCAAGTAGGGTGCTTGCCTTGTCCAAAGACTACCTGGATTCAATCCAGGGCAGGCACAGTATATGGTCACATGAACCCTGCCTGAAATATTCTGAGTGTACAGTCAGGAGTAATCCCTGAGCACTGCTGGATATGATCCACATTTAAAAAATGAAAAATGAGACATTCTGTTGTTGCACCCTAAATTCTATAATTTACGATGTAAAATGTTTTTAATTTCTAAATATAAAATTGTGTTACAATACTGAACATAATAGTACCAGGTACTTAATATTTTTTCATTAAGATCCTCCTACCAGCCTCACTGAGAATAGCTGCTATATGCTAGATAACAGTTATTAAGATGGTTTTTATCAATAAAAATTAAAAAACAATTATGTGCGACTAAAAGCAGTAATATTTTAAAAAATAAACTGACACTCTTCAGATAGATAACATGTAAAAAAGTGAATAGAAGGAGGGATTGACAGGATTGGTTTCCTTCAAAACACAAACTTGAAGACAAAGTTCTCTCAGTTTTAGTGCTGAATGGTTTTATAGTCATTTTACTGCTTAAATCATTATTTTATTTAAGTTTTTCTGGATTTTGGAAGCATGTTGTTTTGACAAACAGAGCAATCTGAATTGGTTGTGTCTTGGCTTTAGTGCTATTGTTTGGATATTGGTGTTTTGATAACTAGGGCCAGCTGGCATGAATCCTCAGTGAAGAGGCCAGATGTGAAGGGAGTCAAGGCCTCAGAATCCTGATCAACTCTTTCAATTTCTCCTTTCAAAACATTTTCTAGATTCCAGGAAAGTAACATTAAATAAAACATTAGACTTTGAATATCTAAAATCTTTCAAACAGAAGTTATATCTTGGTTTTAGTTTTAACCTTGCTTAATTTCTCTTGGTTTTACCTAAGGCTTATTAGCCTAAATGCCTCTACCTCTTTTTAACCTGTGATATGTATAAGGAGAGCTGAAATTTAAATTGATGAGTGGGACAACATCCTTAAGACACATTGTTGGGACTTTTCCCACACTCTAACTTGGGATACAGCAATTTCTCTGGTACTAAATGCTTATATTAAAATTATGGGTTTGGCTCACTTTATATATTTAAAGCTAAATGTCATTATAGCATGCTGATTAATGACTTTTAAAATATGCATTCATAAGTATTGAATAGTTTGTATTCTGTAAATTATAAATTCACGACAGTATCAAAATTAAAATTTAAGAAACTTTTACACTTGACCTTTTTAAATTTTGACAGTGGTCTTAATGAAAGCACAGACTTGCTCACATAAATTAAAGAGTATTGAATGATTTCAAACTTCTATTCTTACTACATAAAATATAGGATGCATATAAATTACTAATGCAAAAAACCTGATATATATATATATATATATATATATATGAAAATACTAGCAGTTGCCTTACTCAAACTTTTTTTCAATTGTTGGCTTGAACAGAATGATGTATGTACCTCACGGTGAATGACAATAAATCTTATTATTCTTTGGTTTTGTCTACCACCATAAAATATAGTAATAATGATGGAGGTAGCAGCAAAAGGGTGGGTGGTTTCAAATACCGATTAAATGAACACATTTAATAGTTCAAGGGTCACATTTAATGTTGAAAACTATTAAACCTCAGATATTTCAATAGGTGACTATGGAGACAAATGCTATTACAGTCTTGTAATATAAAAGCGATACAGCAGGACTAGTATAAGTTTCCAGATAGGGTTGGATTTTATTTATTTATTTATTTATTTTTGAGTGGGTGTTGCTCAATTATCTTTATTAAGGAAGTCAAAGAGAAGGAAGAAAAACACCATAGTACATTTTCTTGGATTCAATGCTAATTTTTTAGGTTAACTACCTATAGGATACACAGGAAATACACAAGCTCTGTACATGTGAAAGCTATACAGTGCTAAAAAAACTAAGTACTCACTAAGAAATTTCATTCATAAAAGAATCAAAATTGAAAATTGAGTTTAAAATACTTAACACTCATGGGTTTCTATCATTATGATCTTAATGAAAATTAAACCAACATCACAATCCTCTCTCTCTCTCTCTATCTATCTATTTTTCTTATCTTTCTTTCTCTCTCTCTCAGCAATTCGGAGAGGTCTTCATTTTCTTCATTCAGATATGCACCAATGAGCCCATCAGGCTTCCGCCTGACATAGTCCCTGAGCCATACTATTTAATCTCCCCCTTCCCATTCAGAACGGCCTTCAAGGGGAAAATCTGCCAACCCACAAATATCCTTTCTATAGAAAACCACTATTGACTTCTACCCAGCAACCATTTATATAAACAACCCCTTATATTGATCTTGTAAGTTATGGTAATGTTACATTAGCATTTATTTCTCAATACATATTTAAACAGTAATTTCTTTTCAGCTAGTGATTACCTGGTAATGCTGAATCAATCTGAAAAGTGTATCTCTAGGATAGCTTCAGAATATCTGGTGAGAGTTCCCCTTTGCACAGCAAGCATTTCTCACAGCCAGCAGCTCATGAATCGTTACCTGAGATTGTGAAACAAGGAGACAGTCACAAATAATATTGGAAGAGTCAGACCTCCTCTGAACTGTTTATTGAGTCAGGAGAAAGCACCAAGCCACTACTAAAGATTTTGAAGTAGGATTGATCAAACAGATAAATAGAGTAAACTTTCTCACATACAATTCTTTCAAATATACTCTAGATTGAATTTTAAATATGAAAAATTTTGGCACTTCCAGAAATTTGAAATAATTACTGTTCTCACCAATGATTTACTGGGAGATTATTTGGGGGAGATTATCTGTAGGTTAATTTTCCCCACCCTCACAATTAAAGCCAGATGTCTGCAATTTAATGCTAAGTGTTTTATTTTGCCTAACTTCAGGAAATATTCCCTCTAAAGTTAACAGCCCAACCGTTTAGTCAAAACAGATGTCCTCAGTCATCCTCTGGAATACTCACTATTTCTCACAAGATTTTAAATAGCTAAATGACACTTTCCTTTGAAGACTGTTTTTTTAAAGGCCTTGTTTTACTGCACCTTTTCTACATAGATGTATTCTTACAGATCTCATCATCTTCTATATTTAGAGAGATGAGCTTTCCAAAGGAAGATCGGCAGCCAATGAGGAGGATCCCATTAAAAGAGAGGTGAGTTACTATGGTTACTTTTCAGGAGGTTGAGTAGCCGCGAAAGGCTGCTCCCGGCCAAATGGACCCTTTCCAGAGTAGGACCTAAAAAGAATATTGCTCTCCATACGTGTCGATTCGGTAAATCGAGACTACGCGATGTCATTTTAGTCTGCAGCTTGGGCTCGCTGTGAGCACTTCCAGCCCCCCAGCAATCCGAGTACACTCAGGTAGCAAAGTCAAAGGCAACGCAAAGAGGGCTGCAAACTTCCCAACGCAAACCTAACCGCAGGGGCACCCTGGACAACCAAGCCCAAGATCTTAAAACATCAAATCAGATTATTCGGGACCACTAGACGGTCACTTTTCAATTATTGGCGGGGCGAGGAGGGAGCCCAGGAACATTTCCCGTTTTCATTCTTAATGAATGAGCTACAGAGAAAGGCATCTGGCTGCAGGAGTCCAGACGTACCTAGCGAGCAAGGGCCACTCACCGGGAGGCTGGCGCATGCACCTGCTTCGTAAAGGAGAGGGGTTCACTGCTCCCTCCTGTTTTCACGGCGCCGTCACTCTTCAGACCAGGGGTACGACAGAGACCGAGACGACGGCGGCGCGACAGCGGCGGCAGCAGCAACTGCAGCTCAGCGGGCAGCCCAGGCTCCTGCAGGTCCTTCCCTCCAGTCTCTGAAGCGCCTCTCGCTCGGGGTTCGGAACGCTAGGCGGGCGCGCAGCTGTTCTCAGCTCGCATTGGACCAGAGGGAGCAGATGTTATCCGGTTGCTAGGAGCGTTGCTAGGAAGCGATGACGCCCCTCCACGGCTTACGAGCAACTTTCCTGTAGGTCGAGTGCGCTGGCGGAGGCTTCAGGGAGCAGTGTTTGGGAGCAGAAACCAGGAAGGGTGGTGAACTACGAGTCCCCCAACAGGGACAGGAGGGACTGGGGTTCTTGCACTCGCTAACTTGCGTCCCAGAGAGCGTCTAAGGAGCTGCGGGTGGGTGAGCACGGAACGTTGCACGCAGGGCTTGGGGCTCTGTACTGGCACGGTATGTGCAGGTGATGAGGGCCGCGCAGCCACGGGCTGGGATACTTCCTGTATTCTCTAACTCGGTGTCACCTTGATAGGGCAACGATTTGAGGACCGGAGTGGGGCAGGCCTCATCAACGACGTTAGTGCTTTTAGATGCTCAGATTTCTTCTGGGATGACCTTGCTTTATAAGGGGGAGAATTCTGGGCAAGGGGAGATGGAGATAAGACCCGGGGCATGCGTGGGTGATGAGTATAGGAGCCCCTGGCTTCTGCTACTCTTTCCCCCAGTATGTTCCTGTTTATGTCTGCAAATTTGAACAGTTGATAGATTTGAAAGAGGGAAATACTAACGTATGCATGAAAATCAGACCAGAGTCTAATTCCTTCTGGGGTTGTCTGTGGCTTCTACTGGCATGGAACCAAAGATTTCTGGAAAAATATTCCTGTGGTATAATATATCCACATTTCTTGAGGCTAGAAAGTCTTCATTGTGAAACAGCAGTTAATTAAAGTCTTCAAACTAATATACAAACATCTTAATATAAAAAACACAAAGATTTTACAGAAAAGAGTCTGGAGGTGTGATTTAGTCATTCACACTTTAGCATAAATTTACTCAAAGTTTTGTATTAATCTCTAATATCTCACTCAAGCTGATTTTATTTTTCACCTTTGTCTTTTGCTGTTTTTGTTGATGTTCAATGTGGTTGTTATTCCTGAGCAGGGGGTGAGGGAATGCACATCAAAGGTGGCAAATTTTGGTAGCCACCCTTGGCTAATAAATGAAGGGAAGATGACAAAGCTGGTAGAAATTTTGCCCAAAGCTACCCTCTGAGACTGATTCTCATTGATGAAAGAGATACACTGTTTCCTTGATTCCCTATAGGGTCAGCCCAGGGCCTGAAAAAAAGAGTGCTAGCACCCATGGGATTCAATTAAAAGAGAAGTTACTGTCTTTAGAGCTGGGGCTGGCTGCTGTGTAGTTCCGTTGACTCCTGCAGTGCAGACATTCTGCAAGGCTGGAGGGGATGCACAAAGTGGCCCTGCATATCCCCAGGTCACTTGTTTCCTCAGGTACTCTGTACCAACTTAATACATATGACAAAATATAAAGAGTTTGTTAGTGCTAAGGTTTAAAAACATGATTACCTGTGTTAATTCAGTTGTGTTCCTTTTACAATAAATCTGTATGTACATATATACATCTATATTATAGTCATATTGTCTACTTAAAATCTTATACTTTTGTCAATCATACCTCAATAAATCTGAAAAACTGAAAACTTAGAATCTGGAAGAAGCAAAAGTTCAATGAGTTTTAAGATCTGATGGTACAATTTTATGAGATAGGAAAGGAAGTTTTAAGACAGGTGATCATCTCAAACTGGGGCATGGGTATTCACAGAAAGGGAAGAAAGGAACTGCTGCTTTAGTCTGCCTTACCTTCTTGTCTAGATCTTACTGGGACATTCTCCCCTTTTCTCTTCAAAGTCCAGTTAATGTAGGTAGTGGTCATTTTTTCCCTTCAGGTTCTGCAAGTGGGAAAGGTTCATATCATCACGAATATTTTGTATGTGTATATCTTCACATGACTCTCTTTCAACTGTCTTCTATTCAACCTTCAAATTTCAGTCCCACTATAATTTCCTCCTAATTCTTTTTCCTTAAAGACTCCCATTAGGGAGATTAACTGCCCTACTGTACCCCAAACTATCCATATCACAACATTCATCACACCAGATTTTAACCAATTCCTACCTTAACACCGGGTCCTCAGACCTCACACATGGCACATTACTGCTTTACCAAAGATAATGAAGGTCACAGCAAAATGGTCCATGCCACCCTCCCTGGATCAAGGTTCCTGTTTTCACCTTAGTTGTGGAGCAACTAAGTGAGAAGTTGCACAAGCCAGGAGAAAAGCTCTACATTTTTGTTGTTTTTTGTTTGTTTTTGGTTTTTAACTCAAGTAGAGGAGAAGGGAAGCCTGTTATAGGGATAATTATTTTTATGGATTTCATGAGATATTAATGATGATGCAGCAACTTCGTTTTCTTTTCAAAGCATCTTACAAAGGTCAGTACCTGGAAAATAATCTGTAAGTCCTTTATATAGTTTCCATTTGTTTTTCTCTCGTGTCCTCTAAAGTAGTGTGTGTTATCTGAACTCAAATGTTTCATACTTCCTTAAAATAATCCTGTCCTTCTATATGTTTAGGGAGAAGTTTTCCAACTTTACCAATATGGCAGCACTTGTAGTTTATTGAAATAGATGAGAAGACTTCTTTACTGTTCTCAATATAACTCACCAATTTCCAAATTCTCCTTTTTCTGGGATCAACTCAAGAAAAATAACAGATGTTCACAGACATGAAGGAAAGGTCAAGGTAAACTTAATCACAGAGTTGCTTGGTGGCAAAGCCAGAAAATAGAACAGAGTAAAAGAGTTTTATATTGACTGCAATATGTCTGCAGATAATGTTTCATAAATTCTTCAATTTTCCTAGCACGTGATTAGATAAAATATTTCACTAATTTTGGACTTAAAATTAACTAGTAAAAAGCTATACAAGTGGATGAAGAGATAGTGACAGGTGTTAAAGGACTTGCATCCCACCATCCCCAATTTGAATCCCTGTCACCAAATTTGCCCCCTCGCACATGGTCAGAAGTGATCACTGAGCACAGAGCCAGAAGTAAACCCTGAACACTACAGTGTGTGTCCATCCACAAAATGATAATGATGATAATGAAAATTGTGATTACTTTCCAGGGGCCCGAGACATAGTACAGCAGGTAGATAGAGTGCTTGCCTTGCATGAGGCCAACCCGGATTCAATCTGCAGCCCACATTTGGTTTTCAAAGCACCAACATAAGTCAACCATGTGCAGAGAGCCTGGAGTAAGCACTGAGTACTGCTGAGTGTGGCCCCCAAGCCAAAAAGAAATAAACCTAAAAAACCCTTTCCATCCACCTGAGAGGTCAACTGAATTTTAATCATCTAATCACTGAGACTTGTCCCTTCTCAGAACATTGCAAATGTGATGCTAATCCTGCATTCTACTCCTTATCTGCTTGCTGAAAATAATAAGATGTTTTATTTCATAATAGAATGAATAGTAAAATTCATCAGAGCACTCAACTGTGACCCAGTTTTCCTCCTGAACCATGTTTCTGATTGTCCCTGGTGAAGCCCTTGGGAAAAAATAGACTATAAACTTTACAGACACGGAATGTGATTTGACTCAACAATAAAATGTTATTTAACATAGTCAATTTTTAGTATTTACTACAAAAGACGAAGAGTGTCATAGATGGTTGTATCAATTATTTTAACATTTAAGGTTGGGCAAGTCTCTTTTGAAGCAATGTCAAAAGCTAGCAATCATTTGTCAAGTTTTAGGTTATACAGATGGTTTATTATAAGATTAAAATACTGGAAAATCTGTTCCCTCTTCAGTATTCTGCTTTTGTTCATTATTTTGTATTATTTGGTTTTAACAACCACACATGTGCATATTTACTAGTGCACATACACATGTGGAAATGCTCTACTTTGTTCAGGCCATCGGCTTGAAACTCTTTGCAGTGGCTTTGGATATGTAAAGTCAAATGATCTTTAACTGCCATACCTTCTAACTCTCCAAATGTGCTGAAATTCTAAAATTACTAGGGTAAACAATTAAAAACCTATATCATCCCATAATCTTTTAGTACTACTATGGGTTAAGGAGATTTTAAGTTCCAAATGAACTTGAAAGTTAGGAAACTCTTTTTAAGTAATTACTCAATCATAACATTTGAAAAAATATTTTTAAAAGAAAAGAAAAATATAAGTATATACTGTCTAGTTTTCAAACTGATTTATTTTCTAATACAAATTAACTATTGTTCCCAGCATTTTCCTTCCTTCCTTCCTTCTTTCCTTCCTTCCTTCCTTCCTTCATTCTTTTTCTTTCCTTTCTTTTGTCCCCTCCATCCTCTGCTTCTGGCTCAGCAGTCACTCAGCAATCACTCCTAGAGTAGCTTGGGGTCATATGAGGTGCCAAGGGATTGAACCCAGGTCAACTGCATGCAAGGCAAGTGCCCTTTCTTCTGTAGTATCTATATAGTCTCTCCTTTTTCGTCTCCTTCATAGTATTCAGGATCACGAACGCCTTGTCACCATATGACATATTGTGCCAAGAATAGAACCCCGGGCCTTTATGCAGCCATGCACTGAGTTTTTGAAACTATCTTCCCAGTCCTTCGAGTTATCTTTCCAGTACCTCTAGGCTCTTAATTATATGTGAAGCCATGTGACTAGTTCTGTGTAAAGGAGTTTGGATATATCTGGAGAGAGAAACCTGTTAGTTTGATTCCTTAAATGTAAATTTAATCCTTCAAACCTCTTTTTTTCCATTCAGTTTGCATAGTGAAATATTTCTTCAAACTCTCTGTAGGATCTGAGGTAGCACTCAGTCCCTAAGATGTTAAGAAAGCAAGATTATGGGCACAAACCAATTTTTTTCTTATTATATCTAACATTTGGATGTATTTACAGGAACAGGTAGAATTATCTCAATAAATTCAACAGGAAAACATAGTAAAAGGTTGTTTCCCTGAAATATCTATAATTTTTCTTACTATTTTATTTTGTTGTTTTGGCAATGTCAGCCAGGTTTTACTACTAGGGAGGGATCAAATTATAATAATCTTATTCCCTGTACTAGTTTTCTAATACAAGACTCAAAAACACTTCAAATAGTAAAGGTTCCTGGACAAGAATGTCATAGGCAACAATTACCTACATTTTTTTATAAGTACCTACCTTTTTATCTTCTCAGAATCCTCTTGAGATACTACTTTTTTCAGGTCTTAACATTTGTCTTTACTTATCTAATTATTTCATTATAAATTCAACATTTTAAGCCAGCATTTGAGTTGATTTATACACAAGTCCACTTTAAAAGCCAATATCACCCTAAA